TTAAACAAAAGACAGGTACAGAATTCAGGTACATCATTCAGATTAGAACTGCACACAAAACATCTTTTCCTGGCACTGATGCATGAACAGTGTGGTGCTATTTGAAGTTGTGTCCTGCTCTCTCACTGTGATTTCTTTTGTCTCCTGTAATGAAGGATAACTGTGTCCTTTGGGGTCCCAGCTTTGTGGTTCAGCCCCATCACAGGCACAGTGAAGGACCAGGAGGATACACCTGAAGGTGCAGCAGCAGCTCCTGATGTGCACAAAACCCAGCACTGCCCTGCACTGGGTGCTGCTGCCTCCCCAGGACTGTTCTGCCTAGGACCAGGGCTGGCCACTGATGCAGGCTTGCTGCTTGAAAAGTAAGACTATTCTTATTTGCCAAGAAAAAAAAAACCCACCCAAGGAATCATTCCCTCTGTACATAACCTGCTTTCAATTACTTCACTCCCTAAAGTCTGAGTCACTTTGCACTGACCAGTTCACGCTGAGGATGAAGAAAAATAAAATGCTCATTAAAAAAAAATAGACAAAAAAATGAAAAGCTAAATAAGAGCATCAACTGATGGACTCTCACACGGGGAGATTAGTGTGTGCACTTGGAAATCTGTGTGTGTTTGGCTCCTTAGGCCTGGCTTTCTTCAAGGACACAGAGTTGTGAGTACTGTGGAAACAGGGAATACACTCCCCTCAGCCCGGGTCCCAGGGCTCTGCTTGACTGGAATGCTGGTTTTGCCTGCATGAAGATCTCAGTACTGAGGTGTGGAACTGTGGGCTTTATGTTCACACACTGCACTGAGCTTCAGGAGAGCTGGTTTGTCTCCTTGCACTGCCACAGATATCAGGTGCTTCTGCACAGGTCACCTGCCACCTCCCCTGGCTATGGTGTCCCTGAGCCCTCTGGCTTCAGGGGTGTCCCATGGCCCTGCTGCCCCTGCAGGGCAGCCCTGCCTAGGTAAGTGTAGCTGGTCCCATGGCTGGAAGCCTGATGCCAGCAGATGTGACACAAACACACCAGTGACCAGAGCCTGCCCACTGTGGGTCACACACTTGGAAAGGCAGGAGCTGGCACCAAGGAGCTGTGGAGCAGCTGCCTTCCCTCCTCGCTTGGACAAAGTGAGGTTGCACCACAGAAAAGTGCCTTGGGAATGGAACTGCTCACACAAACTCATGTACTGCCTGTTTTTGGTGTGTGTTGCTTGCTAAGAAGACCCAGCTCAAAAGCACTTTCTCCATCCAGTGTCACTCCTCTCAGTGCCACAGAGTTTACACTCAGCCACACTTCCTTGCCAAACATAGTTCCACTTAACAAAAAGCTCCCTTGATCTTTCCAGTAATGAATTCCATCTAAAGCAATGTCTTCTAATATCAGACATGTGCCAGAATTTGCCAGCAAAACAGAGAGATCAGCATGGGTTTGTCTAACCACCATATTTTCCATAAGGCTGCCCCATTAAATCACAACCACATTATAATGTAAAATATTCCACATGTTCTTCAGCAACCTTCTGGAAGGAGAACTTTGTAATTTTTGTAATGTAATACTCTGTTTCTCAGAAGCACAGAAAGACCTGGGGTTTAATTACAATACACACAGTGTATCCTTGGATTAATACTATTTTCTTAAAACTTTGACAAGGCATATTCTACATTTAAAATATTTATGTTAAAGCAGATTTTCAAGTATGTGCTCTTGGAAAATGTTCTCCAAAGAATTTCAGTCTCTTTTCCACCCCAAATTGTGGAGACTAGTGCAAATAATTTTAAAATCTTTTTAAACTCACGTTTACAGCCACAAAATAAAGCCCCAGCATTGGCATGTGTCACTCCAGAAGCCTTGACCTCAATAATCTGGTAGACCAAAAAAAATTTCTTATGAAGACAATTCATCCTTCACCCTTCAGACTGTAATTAAAATGTAGACAATGTGCCTGATGACAGCCCTGCAAGCCTCTTTTTTGTCCAAGCTCGTCATGATGTTCTTCACTACTGAGCAGGGGCAGCCCCTCCAGGGGCAGAGATCACTTCCTCACTGGTTGAGTTTGAATTCCCAGGCATAAATACCAACACTGTGTAGGTTCCTGGGCAGCCACTCACTGGGCATCGTCCTCTTCCTTGGAGCCTTCCTTACTCTCCAAAAGCTCAGCAGTGTGGGTTACACTGCTTTCCTCTCATTCCTGTGCCTTGGAGCCTTGGCATCAATTAAAGCATCTATTAAAACAGTGGTACAGCTCAGCAGCTGAGGAGCTGTAGGAGAGCAGCTCGCGTGCTGAAACGCCTGCTGAGCTCTCCTGACAGTCCCCGCGGGCACGGACGGGCCGGCAGCCCAGCCCATCGCTGCCATAAACCGAGCAACACACAGAGCTTAGTACTGACGGGTTTGATGTCCAAGGGGATAAATCGTTCCCCAAAAGCCAACGTTGTCGTTTTTCGGTGTCATCGCCTCCA